GCGGCCCGGGGGAGGCGTCCTCCCTCCCCCCGCGGTTGGGGAGGCCACCACTGGTGGGTTTTAGCCCTGCCTGGTGCATTCCCAAGGGCAGGGCGGTGGATCCGGGCCGTCTTGCAGCGCGGTAGGACTGATGTCTGCTTTACTCTACTTTCCTCTTTATGAGGCGCTATATATAGCATTTGCTTTCTGCAGTGCTGGAGGCTTCTGGTGATCTGCCTCCATTCGCTGCTAAATTTGTGGCTTCCTGCAAAGGGTGTCTTGTTTTTGTTTCTGTACCCTAACGTACGTGCACTTTCCGTGGTGTTTCGGTTTTAAACATCTTTTGTGGGGGGTGGGTGTCTTTTGTGCCCCCCCCATCTTTTTCTTCCCCGCCACCCCCTTTAGAGCTGCTCCACTGTGTTTGAAAACCGCCTTCAGGGCTCACAGGGAAGTTGGGAATCGGACACTGCAGATTCCCATCCAAGTTTGTAGTGGGCTTTTCGTGTCCTTGGGTTTCCTGTTGCTGTGTGTTCCTTGGTGTCCACACAGTCATGTTTATGTCTAAAGTAACTAAGGATAAAACGACTTTTGAGCCATCGAGTAAGAGCTTTGAATTAGCCTCTTTGTTTGCTGGTTTGTAGCAGGAGTGGATTCTTATATTGCTGGTCATATTGCATTCCTGCAGACACTTCTTTCAGTTATGAGCTAGCTCTTGCTTGGGGACGGACACAGCAGTGGGATAGTCAGCGTTTCGGTGAGTTCACAAATACAATGACAGGCCGTTTGGGGTTGTTGCTGTGTGGTTGTTACCTGCGTTCCAGGACTGGGCAAACGTTAAAATGGGAAGCAAAGAGATGCTAGTGACGTGCTGGGCATGGGCGCGGAGCAGAGCTATATTAAGAGAACTCGCTGTGCATTTTAATGAAATGAGAGAGCTCTTTTCCACGCATCAAGGGGTGTAGGGTGGAGCAAGTTTTGGAGCCAAACAGTGCTGTTCCTGAAAGAGCTGGCAGGGGTCACTGGAAACCAACGGACAAAATGATTTTCTCTGTTCTCTGAAGT